CCTGCTGAATGTCTCTTATTAGTTTTAAATTGACACTTTTGATTCAGACAATTCCACCTAAAAGCAATTACGGAAAATATTCAAGTACTTGGTTCTACAGAGGAATAAAATCACAAGACAAAGTAAGAATTCAGGACATTCTCGCAGAATGTTAAGGGATATCCCTCTTACATTCTATAGAAGAGGAAATTACTTAATCTGAACTATAATGAAATGCAGAAATCGGAAATTAATGACTAATTTAGGTGGCTTTGTGTTAAAATGCAAGAAAGAGACCATTTGTTTGATGAACTGCTTGCACATTTGAAACTCAGCTTTATAATAATCCCCATTAAAGACTCTTTTAGGGACAGCTCTATCAGTTTAGCACCTTTAACACAAATGGATCAAGTCTTCCTGTGTTCCCTCAGCACAAAGGAGATATTTTCAAGGACTGTTTGAAATGCAGGTTTCTTTCTGGAAAAGGCTGACACGACCACTAGTGGGAACACGTATTTATACAGGTTCTTGAAGGGTGTGAAGTTTTAGGCACTTAATGATGCTGCATATAACACTGGTACTAAAAGAGGCAAATCTCTCTCCCCCCCTCCCTTCATGCAGCTGTATCAGCAGAAACATGCTACGTGTTACACGATCCTTCTCTTGTGCTTTGTTTTGACACTAGACAGGAGACCAGCTCCAAGCATGCCCACCAGGCACCCCAGATCAGCCTTCTGTGGCTGCAATGCTCCCCACATCAACACTTTTGGTGTCCAGTTCCAGAAAACCCCCCACATTTTTTCCTTTAAACAAGGACAGGAAACTTGGGCCATACAGATGACATACAGTTTGCAAGTTAGCCAGCTTCTACAGCTTACTTTTGTCAACAGAGCCTAAAGCACTCTTCTAGGAAGCTTGCTGGACACGGGAGCAGAAATGCCTTACCAGCAAAGCTGCATTACCAAAAAGCCCTTGGCACAGGTCCACTCACCAGCCACCAAAGAGGACTGCACAGCTAAGCCCTGGGCTTCAGGATAGAAACAAGTAGTTCTGGTGTTGCCACTGTTGCCACTCTCTTGCTCTCTAACCATCTAACACAGCACAAAGGCAAGGCACAATAGAATTTTGGACAAAATGAATATATGTTTTAATACACAATTTTCTGGATCTGTATCGCTCTTTTAAGATAGAAGTGATGAATTACTCTGTACATTTTGGGTACACAGGTAACAATTCTACAACAGTGAGAGCTCTGTCAAGTACAAAAGTACTTCTATTGTAATAACAAGCAATTTCAATACTTGAGCTGTAATGGGAAGTTCCGGGAATGTGGTAAAACTAAATTCTGCTTGGCTTAGAGCCATGCAAATATTTCTTTTTTGCATTCCCATCAATTTCAGAAATACAGTAAGTGTTTTTGTTCTTAAGTGCACTATTACAGGGGACACAAACAAACCATTTTTCTTCCAACAGTTGAAGCTAACATTTCTAAAATACCGTATCACATTAGACAAACTTCAAGCCGTGCCATTTGAATAAACTGAAAAATGGTAGTTCAACTGCATGTCCTAACCATACTACACCTGCCTAAAATGGTAGTAGAGTTGTTTTTACTTCAGTGCTGGTATAAGTATTCACACTTAGAGGAGAACAGTCATCACAAGCAAAGAACAACCATTACTAACTGTTAACTTTACTTAATCTGTTCTCTAGGCTTAGAAACCTCTGGGGCAAGAATTATCACCTCCACTCGTATTACAGTTAGCACACAAAATACTTAAAATAGTTTAAACCTCTCAAATATTAATACAGTATATATATATTTATATGCCAATCCTGCTAGATTTTATTTGCAATAGTTTGCATGCTAAAACTATGCACAGACCTTTATTCTATTATTATCTTTCATGTGGAAAAGCAACAACTGCCCCAAACCCCTCCTGAATACCCAACTGAAGAAAGATTTACTAACAAAGGGTGGTAAAATTTAGCCTTTCTTCACAGGAGGAGTGGACAGCCAAGACTGGACAATGCCTCTTTGCTGAATGCTTAAGAGTGGCAACACCAAGAGAGTTCAGAGTCACTTTTAAAGAAGTATTTATCTGCTACTTTAGATGGTCAGGCTAGACTACTTAAAAAATAACCATTGTTTGGCACTGAAAGCACAAATCTAGCTGGTCCACATAAGGTACTTCTGATTCACTGTTCTCCTTCCATTACATGCCGAAAATTCAAGCAGTGTGAAAACTGATTTCCACTGTGATGTTGCACAAAGAGAGTGGCTGTACCCCATTTTTACCTCTTTTTCAGAGACAGGAAAAGTATAATAATATTTTCAGACAGGACTACAACATATTAGGCTTTAACAGAGAAGATACTATGGAATATCAATAGTACAACATCACAGTCCTCAGGTTATAGATGACATACAAAAAAAGCATATGGACTTACTGATAATTCTTGGATTAATTTTCTTAGATCCTTGTGCCCGTGCTTCTCAGCAATATTTGCTGGATCATCTCCATATCTGTTGGTGATTTTGCAAGCCCATCTGGCATCAGGACAACCAAGCAGAAATGTTGCAAGGTTCTTTAATCCAAATCTGGCTGCACAGTGAAGCAGAGTAGGAAATTCTTCCAAATAGGTATCTGTATATGGAAATAAAGTTTTCATAAAGAAAAGTTTTGCTTTTACAGAAGACCTTCCACCTCATTTTATGAAAATCCTTTGAATATTAAAGCTAAGGGAATCACAGTTATTAAACTGCCAATACAAAACTGGCAAAGAACAATTCTTGAAACTAGCAGTTTTACAATTCACATACATACTTTAATAAAAGAGCTTTTAGCGTAACTGAGAACTTTTTTTTTCTGACAGAGTGTTTTTAAAGCACTTCATTTCTATTGAGAAATATGTTTTCTTGCAATGGAAAGAAAACTCCACAGCCAAGATATGCTTAGGTGTACATTATTTACGGTTTTAGGAATATTTTTAATTTGAGACATTTGAATGGGACATTGTTATAGGTTCATAGTGCTATGTTTTCATACTGAAAAATATTTCTGGAAGTTCACATGACTACTAGAGACTTGCAAAAATTTTCTTATCCTTATAATGAAAAAGTAGATAATTTAAAAATGAGCATTTTAGATACTGGGCTTTAGGATTTAACTAAGACAGCATTATATTAATTTCTACCACAGAATTTATTTTTCACCTTGGATAAATGGGAAAAAGCTAAACTGAAGTCAGTTTACCATTCAGCATAGTTCTGTTTTCTAACTCTACAAGTGGCCACAACTTGCAAGTAACAACAACAAAAAAGAGAGATTAGAATAAACAATACTTCCCTTTGCCTTCATACTCTAATTTAAAATAATTTATGGTTTGTGGTTTAGTGATTTGTCTACATATCAACATGCAGTGCCTCTCTTTCCCAAGTATGCATCTAGACTATACCAGGCACTATCAACTTCTTGCACCCTCAGGGTGCTTTTGGCAGGGTCTTTACTAACCACTGTGTGAAAACGTGCTTCCTCTAGTTTGGTTTGACCAGGCTCCTCCTAGGTTCAATTAATAGTCCATAATTCATCTTATTTTCTATCCATGTCTGCCCTCTCTGCAGTACTAGTGATTTACTCATTCCCAAAACTTCTTTCTTAAAGAGCTACAGTCTATTTAATCGTGCCTTATAGAGAATCAACTCCATCACCCTCACTGCTCTTTACTGAACTTTTTCCACCTTTAATGTAGCCATTTTGAGGTGATAGGAGAAGAGCTACATATGATACTCAACTTATGGGTGAATGACCTAATTTATGTGGTGTCGTAATTATCTCTTGGCTTTGTTGTCTCTTCCTTTTCTAGTAATTCCTTGTATTTCATTTGCTTTTTGATCTGCTACCTAGCAACAAGTTGGTGTTATCCTAGAAGTGCATGATCTTACTCCTCAGTACTAATAGCCTGCTCAAAGCCTCTCAGTTTGTATGACAACATACGGCTGCCTTTTCCACTTGTATCACTTTGTTTTTACCTACAGTAAGTAACATCTGACATTTTACTGCATAATTACTAAATATCGTAAGACCTTCCCCCCATTTTTTTACCCTCAATTAGCCTTCCTTCTTACTACCCCGAATACTTTGTATCACTGGCTTAATTGTTTGCATCCTGGTTTTGGTCAGTCATTCATCCAGGTCCAGTCTGTTACTGACTTGACTTGGCTTGCAGACTCTTACAAAAAACAACAAGAAAACTATAAAGCATGCCTTCATATTACAGAAAATTTGTTTTATTACTATTTTTATTAATTTGCCTGGTAGAGACCACACATTAACCTGCTCCTAGTTCTCAGAGTCCCTGGAGAAATTTGGGGTTTGATATCACAGTTACACCTTCTAGTACTGTAGAATTGAAAAACTGTACACTACTGTTAGAAATTCAGCTACTTAACTTTTAAATTTACTCAGAACTCTTAGTAAGTATCAGTTAGTTGTGGTAATTTCTTTGTGCTGAGCCTTCCCATTTCTGATACAACTTCATGATTCCTTCAAATCCAGATAGCCTCTTTCCACATGTTTCTCAATCAGAACTATCATTTTGAAATCTAGTTACTTCTAGCTTTCTTGAGTTCTCTTTAATATCCCAGTCACTAATAATTGTCCTATACACCAGTCAGCATATTTTCATCTCTTCGTGTGCAGGAAAAAAACCTTTCGTGTTTTGTTATTTATTTTTTCTGGTATGTCCAGCAATGCAACAGGTGTTGAGCAGTAATTTGAGAAGAAAAAATTACATTAACTCTAATTAATAATCTGTTTCCTGTTAACAGACTCTAAAAGTTCAAATATAGCCAGTAAAAAGAACCTTAACAAAGCATTAACATGCTCTAAAATAATTTCCACTCCATGCTAATGAAACCTGAAACAATGGGTTACAGATCTGAAAGGAGAATCAAGTCAATAGTACCAATGCACTCCTGACACACAAGTCCTTATCACCCAAAGCTGGTGACAGTGGCTAACAAAACTCAACATAGTGCTTTACTCAGCCAAGTGTCCCAACTTCTAAATTAACAACCAAAAACTTCTCTGTTGACCAGAAACAGAGACTTTTAACTCAAGAGACCACCTGGGGAAACTTCCTATAAGGAATCCTAATGTTGTTGAACCACAACATTATACTATTCCCAGTACCTTACTTTGGACTTCAGCTGCTTTCTTTTTGGCATGATAATATTTCATCTGCCACCTGGCCCGGGTACTAGCAAGGTTGGAAACAAATGCAGAGAAAGCTCTGTTCAAAATTCGTTTCCCTTTCCCTTGAGGAATTAATGCTAGGCATGAAATCGTTGTAGTTGCAGCTGCAGCATTAGAAATCCAGAAACAAACAATGCAGGAGAACAAAGCTTACAGCTGCTGTTTCTGCAGTCCAGTCAGCCATGAAGAGTTTCTTTCAGACATTAAAATGCACCAGCTACTTCCACAGATCGCTCACATATAACGCAGGGTGAGAAGAGGGGGGAGCCACAAAGACGTGAGAAACTTGGAGAAAGCAGGTACATGGCTTTGTTGGTTGGTAGTGGGCTTTGAGATTAATTTCATTTAATTATGACAACAATTTTGGACCACAAGACTGTCTGCAGGTTCAAGAGGGATGGATGTGCACTCTTTTTCCTTTAGTTACGTAGATGATAAGTTCCAATCAGGAGAAGCCTGACTTGTCACCTTGCTCCTCCACCCACTAAATGCCTTGTAACTATATCTTTTCCAGGTACCAATATATGGTGGTATATTCATAAAATATAGAAAATAAGCAAGCCCTCAATCTGCAGGCACTAACCCCATGTCACCTTGAGTCACTACAGCACCACAAGCCTTACTCTGAGAAAGGGAGGACCTCCACATCTTCCTTCAGTGTTGTACAGGATTAGTTACCCATTAGAGCAGACAAAGTCCAAGGCTTTGTTGACTGGTTGAAATAAACAAATTTAATTTCTTCTGCCAATGAAACAGAAGCCTGGTGTCATCAAGTTGTGACAAAAAGTAAAAAGTTATTGTGAGGATCATCAGATGACCGTACTGAGTTTCATCAACTTCAGACAGCTTCATCAATGTACTATAGACTCATTTGCAATGCCTTTCCAGGCAACACAACTAGCAGTACCCTGCACTTAGACAAAGTGGAATGCAGTCTTCATGGGTCAAACTTTCGAAGTGTCACTGATAGAAAATGCTGAACTAATCAACTTCTTGAAGCCACCCTGGTATGATCGCTATCTTGGTAAATGCTACACCAACAGTTGTGGCGACTGTTGTTCCTTCAGCAACCTCAGTAACACTTTGATGCCCATTTCTGTATGCAGCTGTGGGATGAGTAGTCATTCTGTGCCCTGTATAAGCTAATGGTTTTGCCACCTATGCAGTGAAGGGGGAAGATGATGTTGGACATGACTTCTCAGACTTTCCTCTCATAAATACATACTTAGCTTACTAATTTAAAAATATAGTACCATTAATGACCACAAGAGATGACTGAAGCCTATTGGTTTTGGGGTTTTTTTGCCCTCATTCTGAAAGCAGCACCAAAACCTGTTTAAACCTATCCTAAGTCCTTCAGGCTTGACAGAAAAAGTCAATGACAGCTAAGGGTACCACTGTCAAAATAACCAAGTAAGAATAACCTATTGCAAGATCTATTTATGCTTGTATTTTTTTAAATTATAATTGTTCACTTAATTGCCAATTAACAAAATTCAATGAGCTCTCAAGACAAATTCTACTGTACTACTGTAAAGATAGTTCCACCATACTGTGTTTAACTGCTTTACCTGAATTTTTATATTATACCCAGTAGCAAGATGCTGTAATTACATGAAAGCACACATGCTTCAGGCAGAAAACACCATTCTTGAACTTGAAAGTTTCTTGAACTGAAATGGGGAAATTGGCTGGAACTTTTATCAGCGGTGAAACTGGAACAACTGATACATTTCAGCTAATTATGTAGAACTGAAGAGAAGCAGTAGTTTTTAGGGTAACTAGAAGTGAACAGCTTTTAATCAGTAGCAAGCTTTTACTGTAGAAGCTTAACAGAGAAAGGCTGCCATTGTTTGGCAACTACACTAGTAACTAGTTAACTGAAGATCATAAGCAGGAAAAACAGGTTAAAGAGAAAGTGCCCAAGTGGCATAGTTTTAAGTGCACTAAGGGGGCTTCAACTTCCAACTAACTCTGAGGCCAGTGCTTGCTTTTAATTAAAATTCTAGTTCACATACACAAGGTTAAGAGGGAATTGCTGGTTTGTATGCTTTGTTCTGTCATAATCCCTTCTCTGCTCTTCTCTGCAGTGCATTCTGGAACACCTCAGCTATATAACAGATCATAAAATCTAATATTACTGTATTATAGCACTGTCTTAGCCTGTGGGAATTTTCATAAAACTGCGGTAAGCAAACAGAACAGCCTACAGTGGCATTTCTGCAGATCTTGTAAGACATCCTTCTTTTATTTCCCAAATTATTGATCTAGGACATTACTTTCTTTTTATCAATTTAAACAGACAGTTAAAATGACTTCTACAGTGTCAGTATCAATTAAACCAAATAAATATTTAAACCCCCATCTGCTTCTTCTCCTCCAGTCTATCT